GCTGGTGAAAACGGTCCGTCGTTAAACGCGTTTAATTTCGGCGTTTAACATAAACTTAGTTTCGTCAAACTGCGTTTCGCTTGTTTCTGATGAAACTGGGCCTTAATAAGTTCTATATGTTCTTTCGGCGTATTACCGTTTTTAAAGATTGTGAGAACGTATTTTGGCTGCACTCTGTCGAAAGCCTTGGTTAGATATGCAAGGCAGGGGTGCTGTACTCTATGAATTTTGCCACTAATTGTCTGAGCATGAATATTGCATCGGTAGTGGACGGGTTTTTCCGAAATCCTTGCTGTTCTTCGCTTATTGGCGTTATTGCGGTTAATTTTTCGGCAATGATATTGGTTAGAAGTGCTTAGTAGTGTTCTGCCGCGGTAGTTTGCTGGATCGGTTTTGTATCATTTCTTAAAGATGGGTACTGTAATGCTGTTTTTCCATTCAACTGGAATATTTCTATATTTAAAGACGATAATAAACAGTTTTGTGCATTCTTCTATGATTGCAGTTCCTTCGCTTTTTATTAGCTCGTTTGACATTTTATTTTTATTCGCAGTTTTTCTGTTTTTAAGTTTTCTTATTACCTCGCTTACTTACTCTTCCGTGATTTGCGTGTATTCTTCTAGAGGATCGTTTTGTGTGGTTTCTTGTGCTTCCTCCGGGATTTCTATGTCTGCGTATACGTTTCTAAAATATGTTTCCCACGTTACTTCCGTAATTGTTTCGTTTGTTTCTCGTTTCATGTCCCTCAATAATTTCCAGATACATTTTTGCGAACCGTACATATCCGTCTCCATTGCATTACTACCTCCGCCAGTACTCTTTGATTTCTCGAACACTATTGTTAACGGTGTTCCTTATATTACCTATTTCGGAATATACCTATTTCGGTTTCGTGTTGGTAATTCTCTGTGTTGCAAATATATTTACTTCTTTTCCCTTGTGATGTTTTATAATTTCTGTAGTGAACAAACGTTTATTGTTACCTAACAATATCGGTCACTCTGCGTAACCGTGCGTGTTCCTAAAGCTTCATTTGCACCTTTATATATGTTATGTTTCAGACTTTTCCATGCTACGTTGGGATTGTCATTAAGCACTATTGGATTATAAGCAATACGTTGTTTGCATCGGTCTGAGTAAAGTTGTTTAGCGCTTTCGTGGTTGAGCGATTCCATATTGAATGTTTCGGTTTTAATTGTTGGCTTATTTTTGCACTGTGAAATTGCTATTCGTAGCTTTCCCAGTACTAATTCGTAGTCTGTTCCAATGTTAGCTGAGGATAGGACCCTTATATCTACTATTTGTTTTGCGGCAGGAACATTCGCTTAGCGATGATGTAATCGATTAGCGATGTATTGGTTCTGTTGTCATAGAAGGTGTATTTACGTTGTTATTTATGGGAGAAGAATGTGTTATTTATTCTCAATTCATTCTGTGCACAAAACTCTCTGAGAATGTTGCCATTGCGGTTAGTAACGTTATCGTTGTATTTTTGTTTCACTCCATTTACTACTTCATTTCCTATTCTAGTGTTTGGATCTCCCAGTAACATTAACTTTCCGATTTGTGGTATTTTGTCCAACTCCGGTTGAAGTTTGTCGTAGAATTATATTGACATTTCTTGTGGTTTACTGATTCCTGGTGCGTATACTAATTTTATAGGTAGGATATGATCTAATATCATTTTTACTCTTAAGATTCTGTCGCTAACGTATTCTATTTGATCTAGGTTTTGTTCATATTTCTCATGTACTAATATCCCAACCCCTGATGCAGCTCTCTGGCCTTTCGCTACTCCTGAGTTTACTAAGACGTAGTTTTTAGTTTTGTTGTTCCTTTACGTTTCTTTCTGGTTTCGGAAAGTGCGCATATGTCTATCTTATGTTCGTTAATTTCGGGAATTATATCTTGGTCTTTTGAATAGAGTTTTTATGTTCCAGCATGAAATTTTCATTTATTTTTCCTCTAGTTTATTTCCTTTTTGCGCGTGGGTCGTAATCCGAAAAATCTGCCCTGGTTCCGAGGCTGGGCTACCAGTGCTTTGAGCATGTGGTTATTTTTTTTTAAGCCTTGCAACCTTGAGACAGGTTGCTAACATTACCTAAGAACCCACAACCTGGAAGATCAGAATTTATCATTAGGGTTTATTCCCTTGGTTGTTTCGCTGTTTCTGCAAATAGCACACCTTTTCAAGCTGGCGCACCTCGATATTTTCAATTGGTAAACCATTCCCGAGCGATTCAAAGAGTTATATCATAACATAATACCTCGTTAGTTACGTCGCGTTAGAACAACGCCTTATTCTAACGTGAAATATGCAAACCTCTTGGCCTATTGGTATTGGTGGTTGTTACTAAAAAGCAGATACAGTGAAACTTAAAATATCCACTTACCTCGTGACTGGATCTCTGACAACTACTAATAATTTTGTTGAAGGATTCATCATTTGAACCCTCCTGGGAGCTTCTTTGGTAATAAAATATGAGGGAGTCTTTTCGATGGTCAGCTGACCCTCCAAAGTAGGAGGCATGTGGCTTCTGTACCATTGGAAACCTCTGTGGTAGTTCTTGTCAAAGAAATGCACTTCACTACCAGCCGCTCGAACATCAGGATGAATTCGAATAAATTCGAGAAGGGCTCGTGTACCTCCCTTCTTAACACCTAAGGAAGTATATTATGTTAGTGCTGGATTACCCAACGTCGTAATTTTATTCTTAAACTTAATCGTTAACTTAATTCATAAAATCCAAGTTAACACCGCTTGGTTAAATGCGACCGTTTACCCAAGTCCTTAATTCATAAACGTAACTTAATCCTTAAAATGTGACCTTCAAAAGTTCGGAACTTTTAACTTTTACGAATTAACGATTAATGAATGGAAATGTTTCAGGTATGCGCATGCGGCATATCCCTATAAACAGCTGACACTTTGACAGAGAAAAACCGTTATTTGATTCCTTGATTTAAACACAAGCCGGATGTTTTCAAGATAAGGATTGCTCGTCAGAGGTTGTTCAGCTTATACCCACTTGCACCAAACTTCTTCTAAGCACGTCCTTACGTATACGTCCTAAGTATACCTTAAAATTTAAGTCCGACTTAAGTTTCATGAGTTGCACCATCCGTTTTTCACGTGTTCTAAGCTAATTAATTCTAAGCGGTTATTGCCTGAAGCTAAGCTTCAGGCAATAACCGGCAACTCTGTATTTTTCATTCTGTTCTGCATGTCTGTGTTGTTTCTAACCGAAATTCGAGACCTTTTTAAAATTTTGTTTCACTCATGGCTGCAAAACAGAAAGGGTCTCCTAATTTTGGCGCTTCTGAAAGAGATACTATCTTAGAGCTCGTTGCGTTTCATAAAGATCACCGAAAAATATAATAATAAAAATAATAACAATAAAAAAAACAGATGCTTTGTCTTCGCAAGAAAAGCAGTCAACATGGTAGAAAATATCGGACCAATTTAATGCTATTTGTTAAAACAATTAATAAATTATTTTTAAACAACAATTCCGCCTACGACCGCAATAATCAGGAAATTCCACAATAACCAAAAAGAAGACATCCGGAAGCACATTTCCAATCAGAATAAAAAACTTTATAAAACTGATGGCGGAGGAGTTGTGCCGTGCCTTCGGTTCCCAGGGGTAATGCAGATAAAATATTATTATCCATTGTAAATAATAAGACCTTGTATGGCGTGAATCAATCACTTGCTGCTTTTGATGGTGATTGGGTACAGCCAAATGAAAGTCCGCCATCTCTCATTTTCCCAATTAGTCAGAAAGGGCGTTAACGAAACGTTGACATTCAAAATTCATGATGTACGTAGGTACTTATTTTATGAAAATAGGACATTATGATTACACAATTCATATACGTATGCTGTATATTTGACTACCTAGCGATTAAAGTGAGGTTGGAAGAAGGCTACGTCATGTTCAAGTACTCGAGAACGAGTCCTTAAATTTAAGATTTTCAAAGACGAACTTAAGATCGTGTCATCGGTTGGTGCAATCCATTGTCCGAAGACAATTATGGAAACATGTTGGAACATGAACTGTTGGACCTGGTGCAAGAGCAAGTTCACTTATGGGACAAAAAACCGATGCTCAGATTCCAAATGCAATTTTCTTATATATTTCGCCAAATACGGAGCAAGCAATCCTTGTAAACCAAAAAACTGACTTCGTCATTCTTGTGTATTTAAAAAATGCTCTTCATCCCAGTCACTTTTTACCATATCCTTTATTAAGGTGGCAAAAAGACCTTCTGTGGCTCTTAAGATTCATGGGGCGATCGCCAAAACGCCTACACGTACTACCCCTATTGAGCTTCAAACCTGTACTACGTAGAGTAAATAATACGCCACTCAGACCGAGTGCAATCATTTGTTGATTATTCAAGAACATTGCAATAAATTTAAATTAGACAGGCAAACAGACCAATAAAACAAAACATAAACAATATTTCAGGTTATATCACAGCGGCACATAACATTACGTAATAATTAAGGATTAAGAACTAAAAAACTGGCTAACCGATCCTTAAAAAGGTTAAATTTTACGAATTAATAATTTATGCACTACGACGTTGGGTAATCCAGCACTTACCGCCGTATGCACCGCCAAGCTACCTAATTGCGATCAACTAAACGCGTTTAAAAGTTAATTGAAATTCAGCGGCGGATTAGTTAAACCTTGTAAGGATATGGCAACCGTGTTCTAGTGACTAGCGTTACCAACTTTTGCGCGGTGTTTCAATGAATATGCCGCCGTTCGTGTTAGATATCGCTGTTAAAAGGAAAAAATATATCCGCTATCCATTGCGGCTAGTTGCCAAAAATGATATGAGATAACGATTTTTCTTCTAGGAAAAGATATATTAACGATGAAAACCGTTATTAGCTGTTGAGAAAATCTAACAATAGGGTATCACAAAATTACTGGCGATTTCACTATATAAAAGCGAAGTCCAGAATCTTGCAATTAAAGCAGACATAAATCTTAAATTGAGCATTAATTTCTGCTGTCGTTTTTCGGTTCAGGTGTGTACCTGTGTTTTTACTATGTTAGGCGTGTTTATCTACTTTTATAACTAGGTGCTACTCGAATATTCCTTAGATATTCGAGTATTTTAGATTTTAAAAAGAGATTTTTCGAGCACTATTGTGGTGTATGTTGTGACGTCGTACATTGATTATTTTAAAAGCACGTGGGACGATGGATAAAGGAAAGCGGGCTCCACATTTATCTTGCGAAGAAAAGGCTGCCTTATTCAGCCTCATTGCGGAATAATACAAAGACGTGATAGAAGACTGATCCTCTTTGCATCAAAAAGTGGTAGCATGGAAAAAAGGAGAAATTGATTTCAATTCCGGGGCACCCAGTTCCTGCTTTAGAGACTGCAGCGTCCAGAGTAATTGTCTCCTTGGAAAACCATAATCAATTATTTCTAAAACATCAATATCATCGTCTAAGATCATTTCTTCTTCCAACGCCATTTTCCAAGTAGTTAACACACAAACCGACTAGAATTTGCTAGGATGAAAACAAAACCTCGTCTTTGTCTATAACAAAACCCTCAATTTCAAAGATTAAAGGTTTTAAGTATTTTAACTAATTTAAGAACTTAATCCTCGGACGTGGGCGGATTAAAGTTAAACGCATTTAAGGTCAAAACAGTCGACGGTGCATACCGTTTACGATTTTCAAACCGGTTTAAGGCTTAATCGCGATTAAAGTCTGTCGGTGCATACGGGCATTAATTGTTAATTTATAACACCGATTTGTTCGTCGATCTTAAAAGCATCATAATAAGTATCAATAACTTCAAATTCGGGGTGATTCAAAATTTGCGTAATTCTGAAAATTTGAGCGTAAATTTGAAAAAAAAATCTCAGAAAGACGGCAACAATGTTTCGTATCCGTTGCGTTATGAGTTGTAACGTAAATACCGGTTGCTTCGTAATTATTAAAAACTCCGGTAACCATGGAATTATATAGAGTGACAATAAAATACACAAGGTAAACTCAACAGCATTCGACGTCAGAACGTACTTTTTTGAAATGTCAATTATTGTCCTCATAACCTCGAATTGATAAGTTTACAGTTTACAAATAAACATATATTTGCGTCTTTAACTCCAAACAAGTGAGTCCCTGTGTAATCACCTTATTATCCACTCTTCTCGAGCAGCTTTTCATATTCGGTTAATTAACTCAACAACAATTTATACCCGGTGTTCAGTAATCCATTGATTTAAGGTGTCCTTGTGCTGTATGTACCTTACATACGTGGTAGGAATGTAGCCGGTATTTATTTGGTGCCTGGGAAAGTGTCAGTTTTTGTGCAATGCTCTGAGTACCCCCTGTGCTGCAATCATCTCCAATTCTTGTTCCTCTGTGTCTGGAACCCAAACATTTATTGTCGTCCACTCTAGTCCTTTGTTGGCGTGAGTTCTTACAGGTTCTGCTATGTTACTGTGACATTTCCTCTGAACTAATCGCAAATTCGTGAAAGGAGCTTCAAAGTAAGTCACATTTTGCCAAATTATTGCTATTATTGACAACGGCTATCTACCTGTAGCTATCTATTAATGACAAAACACATCATTGCCGCTTTGACTTTTTATCAAAAAATTGTAGAAGAGAACGTTTTGATGTCAAAAATTTTTGTAATTTGAAGCAAATATCGTATGTTTTTTCAATGCTTAAGTATTTCAATATGCTACAAATTAAACATGGGAAAATTTCGTTATTAAGCATTATTTTGAAAAGGTCCCACGTTTGATTGGTAGCCTATTGGAATACTTAAGCATTCGAAAAGAAAAATTCCGATCTTTTTGTCAAATTGCGAACATTTTTGATATTAAAAAAGTACTCTTCTACAATTTTTTGAAGAAAAGTCAAAGCGGCAGTGATGTTTTTTGTCATTAACCGATAGTTACAGGTTGATAGCCTTTGTCAATAATAACAAGCATTTGTCAAACTGTGGCTTATTTTGAAGCTACTTTCACAAAATGTAAACCAACAGCGAATTTGCGAATATGCGATTAGTTATAGGAAAATGCCATAGTAACATAGCAGAAGCTGTAAGAACTTACACCAGCAAAGGGCGTACACACTAAACGAGAGGCCCGAAATCAACGAAGATAGTGGACAATCTAAAGGTGCTCGGTTTACATACCTAGAGGAACAGGTATTGGAGATTATTGCAGCCTTCCAGGAGTACTTGAAGCATTGCGCAAAAACTGCACTTTCTCAATCACCGGATACTTAATTGTCCCGATAACTCCTCCGAGGAAGGGCCTACATTCCTACCATGTATGTAATATGCACAGGACACTMGAACACATTAAATCTCTGATCTTCCGAGCAACGGTTCAAATTGAGCAGCAGTTAAAAACCGAACGAGAAGCTGCTCAAAATATGAGCCCAAACTTATAGTGATTGAGACACAAAGATGTTTGGAATGAAACGGGCAGGACTTCTTGCTCTTGGGAATACTTTTTGTGTTTTAACAACAGAATTGTATTTTATTTTATCAATAATATTGATCAATGATCAACGTTGTTGCCATATTTCTGATCTAGCTTTTTTGTAAGTATCTGAGTTTTTAATAACATTTAATTTTTACCCCCATAAGACACTCCCAGACAAGACCTACAGAGAAATGACGCCAATTTTGAATCATCCTGTATAGTTTAGATAGATAGATATTTACAAATTGAACAGTGTGCCAAAGTCAAGGGGCAAGCGATCTAAAATATTTTCAAAATGGATTAAGATGGTTATTGCATTTTTGAATTTTACTCCAAATTCTAAATATATTTCATGTATAATATCCTATACCTAAGTCAAACCATTTGAGATATATTTTAAATTTTACTTACTTAAATTGAGTTGCATTTCTTATCGAAAAGGACTCACTTTAATGGAATTTCGACATTTTGATAACTATTAATTCAAAGTGTTAAAAAAAATTAGTTTCAAAATAACGTTGACAAAACCATCCAAAATATTTTTTTTCAAACGGAAACTCCCAATTTTGATAATTTTATCTTATTCAGTATTAAAAATAAGGGTAAGTTTGTGTACAGTTATCTATCCCAAAAGGGTTTAGTTTTCAAAATACTTGATATAATTAGGTAAATGATCAATTCAATTCAATTCAAATTTTGACATTTATTCACTTCCATAGCCACCTTACAAAATGTAACAACTTTTTGAAATTTGTAAATAAAATAATTTATAACTTGAAAACGATTGGTTTTACAGCTTAAAGTGTAAATGCAAATTTGTTACTTTGTAAATTGTCTATCTAATGACGTATTAATATACAGGTACTTCCATTTGAAAAACAAAAGTTATATTGCGTTAAAAAGTTTTAGATTGAAGTCCACATTGTTAACAGCCTGTACAATGTATTGATATTTTGGTTCAATAGAAGAATTTAACGGATCTGTGGTGATTGGAAAGACGTATTTTTTTTGTATCTCTAACTGCTTTTTTTTGTTCTACAATTGACTTTTAGATACCATGTTTTTAAGCGAAATTTTACTAAAATGGCGATAATCTGCCAACGTCGCAGGTAAGAAAAAAACAATTTACGGTGCATATGCAGCTTTCAAGCTGCATTCCATGAGCTAATGAAAACTGGGTAGTTCTATTTAAAAAAATACACTTTGATCTTGCCTCGCTTTTCTGAGACACTCTATATCATATAAGATATTTTTAAAATGTGCGCACTTTGTGCGTCAACAACTTTTATATGAAACTATTTTTCGAAACTTTCGGCAACGGCAATAATGGACTCTATCGCACTAAAAAACCACCCTGTATGTATGATATGTAATATATGTAATGTATGATAATGTAATTAAAATCAAATAATCATTAAATAAATACAGATCAGAAGCAAAGAATATAGCTGTCTATCTTCGTATATGTAAGTCTTTTTGGTTGAAGGTTGCAAACTGGCATTATCTAAACTTTTGTGTAGTACACCAGCTAGTACATTTACAGTATTAATTGCGAAGGTTCTTACTAATAAAATACTTACCAATAACTAATGCACTTGGTAATTGCCGTACTGGATGTAAACCCTGTTCACGAAATAACCTGTATTTGGGTGATATATCAGTCTCATTGCTTTCTAACAGGGAAACTACCCGAACAGAGGTAGAATACTGGATAAGAGGTATTTCATTGGCAACAACCGGATTATGACGCCACTAAAACAATATTAATCATGTTGTTTAATTTGTTAATTAAATATTGTTCTTATTTTTCTAAACAATAGTAATAGAAATATGCAAATAATTGCTTTTTTAACAAACATCTTCAACTAGTAGTGTATCGTAAATATACTTCATTCTACATGTATAGGAAAAACAAATTATGGGTAACAGGTTTGAAAGATGAAATTTTTAATTGTTAATTCACACATGCTGCTATTGCATTTAAGATCTAGCGATCCAGTCACCTCCGATGTTAAATACTATCATCTGCCTATAGTTGAACCAATAAAAGAATGGATAGTATCTGCGCCTTCGCAAAGACTACTTAGGGATAGGGCGATTGAGTAGAATGTTAGCATTACAAATGTTGGTTGTTAGAAACCTAATGTGACCTGCTTAAGTCAATATTCACCCAGCATTAATAATACTTTGCACGGAGTCAGGACAATTATATTTATCACAACGCTTGTCGTTAAATCAATGACATTTACAGATAGAGGACAGCGACAACGATCCCGGAAAACGAACGGATACAACGGAACAATGACACGGCGCGGTTACGGAAGAAACGAGATTGGAAAACTATCATATTAAGAGTGGGATGTTGGAACACCAATTGTTGGAATTCTAAAGACCAGAAAATATTCATGAAAGTGCACAGTCCACCTGGGGTTACAATCATTGGATATATGTGCAATATCTGAAGTAAGAAAGAAGGGGAACGAAACAACAAGAGTTCTGCAACCAGCTAGAAGTACTACTAAACACCATACCCCATACCTAATAAATTCACCCTAGCCGGAGACTACTAACGCTAAGATCGGCAATAAGGTCATCAACGGAATTCCGCAAAGATTTAATGAAGACACATCAAACGAGAAAGATAACGTGGTCCAACTTTAGAGATCAACAGTCCACTATAACCAATAGAAACATCCACGCAACGCAGATCTCCGATGTACGATCGCTTGCCTCATTGATCCGAACATGGGAGGCGGGCAGAGACTGGTGATTTGTAAGATGAGACTAGGAGAGCAACTAATCCGTAAAAAATTACCAGTAATCCGTGAAAAATTCAACATATAATGCTTCGATAACGACAGAGTCAATGACTTATACAAATCACGGTTTAAGGAAAGAATTACAGCAAATCCAAAAACAGCTGGGGATACAATCGATACGACTTGGTCGAAAATCAAAATTAATATCATAACAACGTCAGAAGAAGCGATTTGCAAAAGAAAGATAAACGCGAACGCAAAAGCCCACAAACCATGGTTAACTCCAGAACCCCGAAGAACAAGTGCATTTATAGGCTATGCTCAACAACATCGACAACTACATCATAAACAAAACAGAGATCAAAACAACATCATTACAAAGTATTACAGTCCCTATCTGCAAGAAGGGAGAAAAGAATGACCCAAGAAACTCTTGAGGCCTAAGCCTTCTCAACACTGTCATGAATCTGTTCACGAAAATAATAACCCACATCTATCAAGTATACTATACTCATACTGCGACAAATCATCAAAAAGTCCATAGAATTTAACCAACCGGCAATTCTCATCTTTGTTGACTAACTAAAGGACGAGTAGCCAATAACAACATAATCCAGGTAATAAAACAACTCAATACCAACAACAGTACAAGAATAGTCAGGCACCTCAACCACTGAGGAAATGCGGAACGTAACAGCCGAGGAGATAACCTGAGTCCGATATTCTTCAACCGGGTCATAAAACGTGTGAAAAGTGTAGGACGAGGTTACGGAATGGGAAACCGAATTCTAAATATTGTGCTATGTAGACGATGCGGTTCTCATAGCAGAAAATGAGGACAACCTGTAGGGAATGCTATTCGAACGAAACCAGGCCACAAAGAAATCTAACAGGGGCATTTCGATACCGAAAACAAAACCTATGACCATCAGCAAGGAACCGATACTATACAAGCGGGCATTAAACGACCAACTAATTGAACAAGTGATGAGCTTTAAATACCATCTTGAACATAATACTATCTTGAAAAATAAACACATGTAGATCACCAGCAAGGCTAGGATCTACAGAACAGTAGTGTGGTCCATCCTCACCTGCGCAGCGGAAACCAGAGCATACACCAAACAGACGAAAAGAGCACTCCAAGAGATCGTAGGTTTCACACTGAGGGACAGGCAGCGAATATTTGGATTGTTTCGCAGGTGTCTAAAATCGTTAAAATGACGTGGTTTTCATTTCCGATCAGTGGCGGCTGGTGCATATGATCTGCAGAACTGCCCAAAATGATACCTTCAAATTACAATACAACTACTCAAAACCAGGCCTAATACTTAACATAATATCAGACATCAGGAGCCAAACACACCGTTTACAGTAAATCAGTGGAACTTTAGACTACTATTCGCTGCTATAGCTTTACTCACAGAAACAGAATTTGCCTGGGCCGTTTGAAGTCTTGTGATTCGTGCAACCACGCCTAAATTCTGAATTTTAAGCGGGGCTTTGAGCTGCATGTAGTGCACTACGCTTACAGAACGCACAACTTTCAGTTCTACTTAGATAACCACGTTAGGCGACGGTGATTATACTTATTTATATTATTAGATCGTGCTGTGATTGTGCGATTTTGAAATAATTAAGTTTATCAGTTTCATCACCATGCAGTTTTCGATTTGATTAACGTGAAAAGATTTTTCAAGTATAGTTATGAAGAGAAAATTGAATTGAAGGAGAAAGGTCGATATTACTATAGAAACAAGTGGAGTTAGTACAGGAAAATAGTATAAACGCCAATTTTCAAAAGAAATGTATTACAAAACATGTGGATTTGTGGTTGCAATAAGAAAAATGATTTATTTTGTTTTCCTTGTCTATTATTTAGCGGCGATAAAGCATGGACGGAGGTAGGGGTAACTGATTTGGTGCATCTAAGTAAAAAATAAAAAGCATGAAAACTCAAAAAGTCGTCTTTGCAATACCATGGAATTGGCTTTACTTGGGACAGTTTATATTAGATCTCAATTAAGTGCCGCTTACTGGAAGAATTTACAGCAGAACGTTGCATTTCTCGTTATGTCCTTGAGAAAATCTATGGCATCCTTTAAAATCACATTGTAAGTCTTCATCGGGTCGCTTCCGTTGAATGGCGGTGTTCCTGTAAGTAACTCAAAGAGCCCAGTAACATACTGCCAGAGACCAGTAATCTGCACTAATATTGTGACCCCTGTTCAATATTGCTTCCGGTACCACATATTTTGGCGTACGCAAAACGTCCATGTTTTCTTACCGGATTGCAGTTTTATAGCGAATCCAAACTCCACAAGTTTAACGTCGCCTTTAGAATCTAGCTGTAAATTATCGGGCTTTAAGTCTCGATTTATAATGTTTCTGGAGTGAATGTAGCCTGAAGGCATGGACAACACATGCGGTGTAAAATCGAGTTGTGGAAGAACGTAACTCTACTTGCATGACCGCGGGTGAACTGAGTAGTTCGTGGATGACGTTGTTGGTCCCAAGCCCGGATAAAAGAGGAGAGTTCATAGGCCAGGTTAGCACCCTACCTAAGGTAGAAAATACTGAAGGTTCATAGAACCGCAACCATGCCTAAGATTAGGACTGATCACAAGATGACGACCCACGCACAGCATAGGTTAAGAAACTGGAAGAAAAAACGCATTATATGATTCGGATCCTGGAATTTAAAAACATTCAATAGCAAAGATCAAAAAATACTAGGTGAGTTGAAAAAGAATAACATCGATATTTTTGCCCTGCAAGAAACTAAGATGAAGGGCAAAGAACAAACACAGTATGAAGGCTACACTATAATCCACAGTGGCGTAGAAACAAGAAAGCAAAAGAGGGTGTAGCAATAGCGGTTGACAACAGATACCAAAACACCATCCAAGAATGCCGCTACATATCTTCTCGAATATTGACAGTTAACGTAGTCGCAGAAGACCAACAGTTAATAATAATATCGATCTACGCACCGGAAGATAATTCACCTAAAAATGTAAGAGATGACGAAATGATGACAAAAAAAAGTTTTACGAAATTACACTAAATAATAACTGAAAACATATGCTTAACTACTTAACTAACTAAATAAAAAAATAAATTAGCTTTAACTCCAAGAAGAGACAAAAGCACAACAGCTAAGGTAGAAAAAAAATATTATATCACTCAAAAAAGACTCAAAGAAAAAATCAATACAAACCCCATACAAGATTGGAAAGACGTAAATATTAGCTGGGATAAATTAAAGAAAAGAAGAACATCAAGGAAACTGCTAAGGAAGCTTTAGGCACCCGAATCAAATACAATATCTCACGAATCTATATAAAAAGGAAGATCACATGACGACACACCAAATATAACAACAAACGAAGTAATGCAAATAGAAGAATCCCACGTGAAATTTGCCCGTAAAAAACTAAAAAACAGGAAAAGCCCGGGCATGGACGACATAACAAATGAAGTATTGAAGTATGGGGGACCGAGACTCATCCAACAACTAGTAATTCTTATCCGCAAATCCCGATGAATCCCGGATGAATGGTGATCGAGCAACACAATCCTCACGTTCAAAAAAATGGATAAGAAAATTCCATCAATTTACAGAAGCATAAATCTATTGAACACTACCCTAAAACTAACAACAAAAATTATAACGAACATAATCAATGGTATGATTACTCTTTCAGATGAACAACAAGGATTCAGAACAGGAAGATCGTGTAACGACGCAATCTTTGTCATGAGACAGATAATGAAAAAATCAAATATAGCAAACCTGCATATCTATGTTTTATAGATCTTGAAAAGGCATTAGATTGCGTCCAATTGAAATATATTATACACCTCCTTTATCAGTAAGTAAAGTCCCTCACAACCTGATAAAAAACATCCAAAATAAATACACGGCAAACTCAGCTCAAGATAAAGTTAACAACGAATATACCGAGGCAATACCGATCGAGAAGGGCATTAGACCGGGAGACTCGTTAAGCCGTTTAATATCATCATGAAGGCGAAATAATCAAGAAGGTAGACAAGCTGAGAGGATACAGAATGGGCGACAGAAAGATTCAAATACTGGGCTACGCTGACGACGCAGACCTGATCGCGGAGAGTGAGGATGATGTACTATTAGTACTAATAGTCTTACTATTACAAACTTTTAGTCGAACCGCAAAATTACTTAATATGAGCATATATACGGGTAAAACAAAATGTATGACATCAAAAAGCCCGTTAAGATGCAGGCTCGCTGTCGATGAAAAAATCAACCTTCAAGAAACTAAACTGAAGTATCTCGGCGTGGAGCTATCTGGATATGGAGACGTTCAGGCCAAAGTACGCGAGCAGACCAATAAAGCGGCCAGAATAGCGGCATGTCTGGCAATAATACAATCTGGCGAAATAAACACATGAGAATAGAAACGAAGGCAATAATATACAACTCCATAACTAAACCTTTAATGACGTACACAGCTGAAACGCGGCCTGAAACAGCAAATACCAGGCGGATGTTGGAGACGAGTGAAATGAAAATACTTCGAAGGATTGCTGGAAAAACACTGCTGGACAGAGAACGAAGCGAGAATACTAGGAGAGCGTGCGGAGTGGAAAAAATTAATGGAACCAACACATCAACCGGATAGACAACACCCGTATCGTAAATATAGCACGCGACAAATCACCCTTAGGTCACAGAAGCATATGCAAACCTAGAAAGAGTGACAATTTGATACCCGAACAAGCATGGCGACGAAGTTGGAACAGGTGACCCGCCTAAAATAGAGATGGAAAAAGAGATTGAACGAGAACGTGGCAAAACATAGGACCTATAAAAAAATATAAACTGCCTTAAATTTTGCCGAGCATTTAAATTGATTCCTCGCAAAATCCTGGAATATTTCGTGGATTGATCAATTTTGCTGCTGCACTTGATTTAACTTTGAGTGAACATCTGCAAAAGGCATCTGTATTTAAAAGTACTTCAAAAGAAATTCAAAATAAATTATTGGATTGTGAACTTGAGTTTTGCCATGAATAAATAAGCAAAGAAATTAAGAAAGCTTTAGTTTGGGCTGTTATTGCTGATGAAACGACGGATGTATCTGCAAAAACTCAACTAGTGGTCATTTTAAGATACACGCGATGATGAAGAACCAGTTGAACGTTTTCGGACCTAAATTTTGAAAATTACAATGCTTAAACTCTATTTGAAAATATTTTAAGTATTATTGACCCATTAATTGGAAATTCTTCTAATAAGTTAATTGCGCAGAGTTACGAAGAAGCAGCAGTTATGAGTGAACAACATGCAGGATAGGCAAATATTAAACAAAAATATCCCTTTGTCCATCAATAAAATTTGATTTTGTCCAAAGCAGCTTCTGCAAACGCTAAAGTACGTGTCTTTTTTGGAAAGTTACAAGATATCCCTGGATTTTTCAGTAATTCTCCGCAACGTGTAGAAGTACTAAACAAAATTGTGCGAAGAMAAATTCCGCATGGCGCTGCAACTCGTTGSAATTTTAAAATTCGTACAATTAATGTTGTATTTGGAAACCATAGAGTCAAATTTATCAGATTGAACGCATGAAAGAAATAGTGGAAAATKTTACTCAAGCAACCGTCTTCAGTGCCGCTGACTCCATTGGACGTATTATACAAGAACCAGGATTCATTTTTTGGTTTACAGTTTTCCCCACATTATGCCACATGTGAATATTTCCTTCATTCATTTTTTGGTTTACAGTTTTCCCCACATTATGCCACATGTGAATATTTCCTTCAATCAACTGCAGAAGAGAAAAACAGATCCAACACAAGTCATGCATGCCATTGCTAATTTAGAACAAAGAATTGTTCATATTCTAAATACCATTGACGATATTGTTAACAAAGTTTCAAATATATGCACTGATCCACCACCAAATAAATGAAAACGTTTCGGAAATAGCAAATTCGATAACCGTGATGCAGTATTAGAAGTATGTGACATAATTACAATTTCCGTCAAAGATAGATTTATTTTCAAAGATCATCTTGTAACTGCATTTGCTCTTTTTCCTGAACAGTTTGGAGAGTATTGTGGCAAGTTTCCTGAACACAAGTTGACTACTGTTCAACTTATCCACATTTTGAAAAAGAACGACTCCGCGCGGAACTGTCGGTTATTTATTCTGGAAGCGATTGTAGGGAAATAAATGGCGCGTTACCTACCCCCCATAAAATTTTTGATAAAAATAATTTGTATAAAACGATGAGTGAAACAAAAAATGCCAGAAATGGTTGTCACAACTCCAATGACCATAGCAGAAGTCGAGTGTTGCTTCTCAACTTTGAAACTAATTAAGACTCTATGACCGAAGATCGCTTATCAGCTTTACCTATGAAAGAAAAGAAAGCTATCGAAAAGACGTTTATTCTGAAATCCACAAGTTTAAAGAGATGGTCATCGACAAATTCGAGACTAGGTAGTTATATAAAAATAGATTAGTTTATACTTTACTCTTGCATAATATTCAAAAAACATATTAGGTATTCGAAAACGATTTTAAATTTTAGTAAACTTTTTTTGCAGAATACCCGCTACATCAGTCCATAAGCCGCAATTGTTTCCGATCATTTTATGCTGAAAAAAATTTCGTTTTGTAGCATGTGTAAGTATGCAACATTGTCAGCGCTTCAATATGTGCCAACACTAGATTCTTTTTAGAATTCGCGATTCGAAATTCTTGAATGAGATTAAGGGTTCAAGTACAAGGTTCAAGATGTTACATCGTAAGAGACGAGGTGTTCTCACGCATTGACGCACAGAGCGGCATCAACTTAAAAGTGCCACACAACATAGTGACACCCAGTCCTTTCTTATCGGGACCAATAATTGTTATGTCTTATTATAATATCATTGTTATTGTTAAATTGTTCATATCTTCGGGTTAAAGATAGGGGTTCGGAAATAAGTGTAAAATGTTTCCCCCTCGACAATTAAATTGAACTGTGCAAGCTTTTGTTAAGAACGCTAAACTTGAACCGTTTCGTGTTCGTTGGCCCACCATGGATGTGCTGCAATAGTTTTAATACCTAAAATACAACATACAGTGTGCTTCCTTTAAAATTTCAATAATCGCCCTTTTAAATGATGGCAGATTAAAGAGTACACGTATTCAATACATACACGATATAACAATTACAGTGAATAAGTGTTAGTACTTACTTTCGGCATCCCTTTTGACATGTTGGACGCGATACAGGAGCTAAACAAGTAGGTAATATAAAAGGAAATAGCTGCCAAAGTAATAAGGGCAAATATTGTTTTCCTCGAAATAGAAAAATCCATAGCAATCATCTGTAAGAATCATGGCGTTCCAGACTTACATCTACAAAAGTTAAACCAGGTAGTCGTTAGATTCTATTAATTAAATGTTTGTCGGATTTGTGCAAAAACAATTTTAATTTTTTTTGCTTTAAAGTGTATTATAGCGAATTGCGTAATTTCACCAAACGAAGAATTCAAGAAAAAACAGAAATGCTCGAAAATATTGTCAAGCATAACCCGGACAACAGTGCTGCTAAACGAAAGTTTCTAAAAATGGATAAGTTATGCAAGCTCGGATAAAAATCTCTGATCTATTACAAATCTTTTTTGAATATAAATATTCGATAATATTGAAAAAAAAATTAAGTAATCGTTGAGAAACAAGTCGTGAAGATCTATTTGAACTCGTTTCACCTTATTAATAATTATCATTGTTCGTTTCACCTTATTTTTATTTATTATTGTTATGATTGTCATCGATAGAGAATTGTCACTCCGCTTTGGACTATCAATGAATTTACAATAAACGAGATTTAAAAGTGGTGTCAGAAGTGGGATATCGAGCTTACATCGAAGGTAGACAACGGCACAATGAGCGAGATATCTTCCGAACTCTACAAGCACTTTCAAGCTTAATGTGGTCGTTGCATTTTTTTTTTCATTCGTAAAATTGATTAATGACGAAGAAATACGGACCCAAAATTTTTTTTTTCATATTCTGTCTATTTGTAACAAATATATCAGCAATCAAAGTTTAAACTTACACAAAGCGCGCCGAAACGACGAGTTTTGACTGATCGTAATGTGACGCCACGAAGCATGATTCTGCTCCGCCACATTCAGCGCTTATGCGGGTTTCCATGCTCTAATGTAAATATTGTGTGTTGGTTTGCTTATTTCTCAATTATTGAAAGTAAAATGGCTTATAAGTCCTGTATGGTGCCACAGTGTACAAGTACCACTATGCATACACCAGGAAAACATTTGTAAAAGAGCCATTGAACGAAAAGAAACGGAAATTGTGGTTGAAAGCAGCGCGGCGAAACTGCACCGATCTTTCTGCAAAAAGTAACATTTATGCCTGTGAGGATCATTTCGATGTAAGTTCGCATAAAAGCAATAATATTTAGGGTTCTTAACCCTGTGTGTTCGTTAGATTTAGGTTTCATCTTTGTTTCATTATGTGGAATTTTTGTTTACTTTATGCAACAGCTTGAAATAGACATGGAATAGTACATCTAAAACGCCTGACGTAAAATCTGAAGAGAAATTTCACGAACAGGAACAAATAAAAGATGTTACAGGAACCGAAAACTTTGCTTGTAGTGGCACATGGGTAGCCATACAAGTAAATTTAAGAAGTATGATGAGTAAAATGATGAAGTATAGAAGCAACTCATCTCAATGTAACATTCGCACAACTACAGTTTGTCAGAGTTGTTCGCCTATTAAGTGATCAACTACTAGTATTGCATTATCTCCCATAAAAGTAAAAACGTATACTAAAAAGTTATACTCCTCATCAGAGTCAAGTTTAACGAGTAAAATATCAGTGACCGTATCAGAATTCTCACGTAGTTTGTCTGAGAGTTCACTCATTTAAAATTCAGAGAGCAGCTCAAAATTTAATAACAATGATACCGATGAGAAACACAATCAACTTGGATTGAAGCAGACTTTTATCAAAATATCAAAAATCAAAAGATTATTCCTGGGAATAAATAAAAACACTTTATTTATAATTAACTACTAAGTCCGTGCCTCTTGCATCCCTCTGTACGATGATACTATGGTATGAACGTGTTTCTATTGGTTGAAGATCTGTCAATTCGTCCGTCGTCGTACCAAGTTAAAAAATGTTTAACTTTATACGATGATCGTATGGTTTTTAACCTCACATTCACTGTTTACATATTATATTTTATGTCGAATTTATTTTTAGTTTTAATAATGAAAACTAAACTTTACGACAAAATAGGATTAACAAAGTGCTTCTGTTTTCATTATTATGGATTAGGCACAACAGGGAAAGTTAAAATACACGAAGATTTTGGGTTCCAGACCATATTTAGACCATAGCATAAAAAAATCGAATATTTCATAACATAAGTCTTTTTTTAATTGATTTGGACCGATCCCTGAGTGGTATCCGAGAATCTCATAACCGCAGTCTTGCCGTTATACCGTTTATCAGGAGACTTTTCACTGATATTGTAGGATATCTATTTATTGAATTGAATCAACTTTTTTCCAAACCTCATTTAGATATGGACGCCGGAACTTTGACGAAAACAAACAAGCAAAATGAAATTTTTGAACATTAATTTCATAATAATATTCAAAACGCACTTAAATTCGATCGAAAATCGTAAAAAGTCGAGCCATGTTGTGTTTCATCTACGTTTTAATTACTATTTACAGAAATGTGTGTATACTTTTTAATAAAATAACCTACTTCTACTGAATTTGTTCATAATAAAGCAAATATAAACAAGTTATGATTTTTTCAAGAAAACATTCATTCCGTTCTTGATGGGTTAATTAAAATATTGATTTGGAGGTCGCCAGTTTATCTCTAAATTGAGATATCTATTTTTTAAAACCGCAATTTCCTGCAATTAATAATTATTTAAGATGACTCGGTTTGAAATGAATGCACTGTATATATTAATTATCAAAAATTAGACGTCTGTAAATAAAACCATGTTCTTTGAACAAAAAACGCTATGCACACCTCGCAGCGAACTATTTTCACTTTATCAAGGTTGTTATCTCTGCATAGCGGCCAAGTATTCCAATTTTTTTTTATTTGTAAGCGTAAGAGTAAAGCTTTGATACGGTTTGAACGCCAGCATCTGTTCGATATCTGGAAAACTTAGCTCAGAATCGTGAACATATTCCCATCACACGTACGGAAAACACAATATTTTTGAATCCAAGCGCAATCGATCTTGGTTTAGTTTTCGTTCAAGGTTAGCGAGATCTGGCAAATTTGAAGGACTATAACAGATATTTTGAGTAATATAACATATATCTTAAGTCTTCAATCAGCTTTTATTGTATAAAAAGTACGTTGAATCTTTTCTTTACGAATAAAAATAGATTATACAGTATTGTGTGGCTGCATTTAAAAACTGTGGGTTTCCTCGAAAATTTAGTGTATGGTTCACTATTTTTCGATCTTGTAAAATGTGGGTATGGTACTTATTTATGGTAAACTTTAAAGCAAAAAAATTAATTGCAAGTGTACAAATAGCAACAGCACTTCTCAATTATATAGCAGGTGACGGCACTCAATTATATAAGTAGCATTTTTACATATAATTGTAAATTATACAACTAAACACTTACCTTGCTGTTTTCTTTACTTATGGGTATTAATAATATAAACATTGGACGAACAGGTACTTGTCCAAATATCTGTTCGGCATTAAAGGGCATTTTTACTATTGCATCTTATTTTGCTCACCGTTCCTTAACACACGTGAGGAAAAACGATGGGATTTAGCTCTACCGAATGAAAAATTGAATACCTACATTGTAAATATTTAAAGAATGTTAACTCACAAAATATCCCCCTATATATATTCTGTGTGTTAACTATTGTAAACAACTCATTGTCAACTAGACATACACAGATCACAGAGGTTACTCTGTGACCTGTGGTCAACCAGTTGCTAGTTGTGACAACTAGGTCAGCACTGCTGTAGCACTGCCATCTCTCTAAGGCAACGTGTTTATTTGCCTTGCTTACGCAGAAAACTAACAGCTCCTATTCGCGAGATCAAAAGGGGTGACATAGCAGAAGCTGAAAGAACCGTGAGTTCTTTTTTTCAACCAAGGGCGTGGAGAGTGATTTCAGATGATACGAGGAGATATGAATACAAGGTAGGATCTTGCGTCGATTTGCGTGACGTCAGTGGAAGTCACTGCGTTTCGTGATTTTTTCCTGTCTGCTAAATGTGATTAAAAATAGCTTATTTAGTCTTTGTCCCATTTATTTATTTTTTAATAAATCAACTTTATAATTACAAAATGCTTTGCAGCAGGTTTTAAACTTGAAAATGAAAAGTAACAAAAATTTATTTATTTTGTAGGCTAGCCTATCCTAGCCTACAATTGCCAGATTGCCTTATTGCGAGATGTGCAATAAATTATAGCGTTTGCTTTTGGCAAGTACCCCAATAGTTGGGATTGCAAATTCCTCTCATAATCATCATTTTTGAAATGCTGAGGGCATATTCGTATCCGCACGACATCAAGCATTTTCCCATAGCTTGCACACCTTCTGCAGTAAACTTTCCAACTACCAAACGCAAAATGCTCAGTTGTTTGTCTGCAAGATTCTCAAACACGAGCAAACGCATTCACCCCATGATTCAATGAATTCATTGAAT